GCAAAATGCCCAAAGTATGTCAGATGAAGCAGCATCACCTTTGCCTCCAAGAAGCACTCTGGCTGCATCTTCGGGATGGATACTTTTATATATATATATTTAATAAAAACCTTTACATAATCTTCATGCATAAAGACCCAGGGTGACCATGTTGCCTGTGACAGCCCCAATACCAGCTTTCTCAGAGACCATTATCTTGGGCTTCCCATAGCTGGCAGCAGTAAGGTCCTTTGCCTGCATTAGTGATGTTTTTCTACTTTCTGGGAGGGCAGAAAATGCTTTGGGACTAGAATGGGAGGGGCAAGGAGAGCTACCCAATGTGCCAGATTTTATCTTTTGGCAAATCTAGACAGGAAGTCTAGCAAGACGATGAAGAACCAGATACCAGAATGCTTTGCTGCACCATTAAGGAAGGGATGGTATACATGGAATACTTTGGGAAAAGAACAAAACAAGCCTTGACGGTTGATCCCACCATAGCATATACTCACTTATAAACAAAGTGAGGCAGAAGTCTCTGCTCTGCTTCCTAAAAGTTCAACCTCTTTTGAATCCCAAGCCCAGCATTTACAGTACAACCTGCAAGAGAGACACTCTACTTTTTTGTCTGTGGTTAGTTCATTTGGTAAGAAGAATAGTCCCAGATCAACATGTTTGTCCCATTACTTGTCCCACTCCTTCTGAAGAATCTTAAAAAAAAATAGCTAGGGTAGGTTGACAAGAAAAGTCATAAAATCCAGAATGGGCAGGCATGAAAAAGGATTCTGTGGTTCTCTAAGGGATTCTGTCAAAGGTGCTTTATTCACCATTTTCAAAAATGGGAGAAGAAAAAACCTTGAATGGTCTTGAGGATGGTAAAAAACTTTGAATGGTCTTGAGGATGGTAAAAGGACACTTGGCTCCTTTTGTGGGTTCCAGAAGCCCTTATGCTATATTCATTTGTAAGAAAAGCCCTGAACAACTGGAAGATGCTGCTTGCAGCAGCATACACGGAGGATGGATTCCATAGCCCAATCCAAAGAATGCTGGGACCTCTGTTGGTGAGTGTGAATGAGCATGTGAGTGTGGTGGAAGAGCCTTAAACTCATTGGCTCCCAACAGTCAGTTCACGAAGGTAGGACTGTGTGAGGCTGCGCAGTTCTTCTAAGGCATAGTCCTCAGGCATGGGGAGTCTACCAATGTGGGGAGCCAGCAGACGCAATGGGACCCGCTGAGGGTCTGGTGTTGAGTCGGTAGATGCATCAGGAGCAGGCTGGAGACTCAGTACAACTCTCAGCAGGTTTGCTATACGCTTGGCCATATCTAAAGAGAAAAAAAATGGAGTGAGTACTGAGTATGGAAGTGGTGCACTTGATGAGGGGAGAGAAAAAAGGCTTACCTGACTGAGCCAGGCGGTCCTTGGCATTGTAACACTGGATCTGCTCTATCCTGTTGCACAGTGAGGTTACTTTGGTATGTAACCGCTCTAGCTCATAACCTGAGCAATCCACCTGCAAAGGCACAATGAAATTAATTAGGCCAAGAATTCTAATCACCTCAATTTTACCCACAGTCTCTCTCAGCAAAATGGTAAAAGGTGGGGAAAGGGAAACCAAGAAGCTGGCAGTGCCCTACTCCAGCCATCTACTCTGGTCTCTGAGGACAAGGTGGTGTTTTATCATTTATCACTGTTACAATGTATCTGTAAAGAGTGTTATATGGACAAGTCCTGAGATCACCAATTATGCACAGGTGACAAGCAGGTTTTAATATGGCACTGAAAATCTAGCTTTTTAAATTAAGGCTATTTATTTCTTTTATTTGAGCGAAAGCTTACAAATTATATTTACTTTTCATTCAACCATTCATAAATATTTTATCACATTAATTTCATCTAACCAAACTTATGAATTTCCTTTCACCCAAAGTACTTATTTACTAACTCTATTCTCATTTCCAAGATCGATTCTGAGCCTTTCCTTTGGTTTTTATATTAGAAGTCTTATACCATAATTGTCCTTCTGTGAATGACTTACGCCACTCAGCATAATTTGATCTAGTTTCATCCATCTTGTGCAATATTTCACAAATTCTTGGTTAAGTTTTTTAGTGATGCATAATATACCACAGTTAATTTTTCTATTGATGGACACTGGGGTTTCAACAAATCTTTGATAGTAGACTTGGTTGATGCAATACGTCTTCTGGTCTCCTGACCAAGAGTGCTGACTGTTAATCCAAGCAATATGAAATAATTGACAATTGAAGTCTCTTCTCTTTCTGTCATGATGCCAAGTGGTAAGGACTTGTTTTCTTGATATTGAGATGTAATCCATATCAAAGGCTGACGTCCTTGATATTTTGCAGCAAGTGTTTTACACGTGCCTCACTTTCAGCAAGCATGGTTTTGTTATTTGCATGACACAGCTTGTTGATGAGTCTTTTTCTGATCCTAAAGTCACATTTCTTTTCTTAAGACTTCAACTTCCATCAATCATTTGCTCCGGAAACAGAATGAATCAGTGTGGAGAACAGATATATCCCTGAAGTACACCTTTCTTGATTTTAAACTATGCAGTGTTCTCTTTCTCCATCTAGACAATAGCTTCTTGATCTCGGATTTTGCAGGAGCACAATTTAAGTGTTCTAAGCTTCCCATTCATGCCATAGATTAGGGCTCCTAAACTCGCCAGTTTCTAATGATATTTACAGTTTTAGACTTTATGACTAGATCCTTGTTTCATCTCGAGTTAGTTTTTGTGTATCCTATAAGGTATGGATCGTATTTCAATTTTCTACAAATAGGTTCTTGTGGATCAAAGACCTAAGCATAAAATCTTAAAGAATAAAGATTAAGGACAACTCTGAAGTTAATGTAGGAGTCCTAATCTATGGTATAAAGACTAGCAAACAGAAATGAAAATACACATCGACAGGGGTTAAATTAGATGACTGTGACTTCCTAAAAATGAAATCCTTACATGCATCAAAAGATTTCTCCAAAAAAATAAAAAGAGAACCTATAGATTTGGGGGTGGAGGAGGAGGTTAAAATATTTGGCAATAACATATCCAACAAAAAACTGAGCTCTAAAATTTATAGAAAACTCCAACAATTCAACAAAACACTAACAACCCAATTATAAAATGAGAAGGACATGAAAAAAACATGCTACCAGATGCTGAAGAGCAATGGTGTCTCTCTGGAGACTAAGGTACGTCTGGTACAGGCCATGGTCTTTGCAATCACTTGTTATGCATCAGAGAGTTAGACAATGACTAGGGAGGATAGATGGAGAATTGATGCCTTTGAGCTTTGGTGCTGGATAAGAGTACTGAGGGTATCATGGACTACTAAGAAAACAAACAGATTCACCCTGGAGAGGGTTAAACCGGGCTACTCCTCGGAGGCGAGGATTCTGAGGCTTCATCTGACATACTTTGGACATGTTGTAAGGAGAGAGACCGGTCCTTGGAGAGGGACATCATGCTTGGGAGGGTGGAGGGCAGGCGCAGGAGGGGTAGGCCCTCAGGAGGTGGACTGATTTGGTGACTGGGGTAATCGGGATGGGAGACAGTGCGATTGGCACAGGACAGAGCAGAGTTTAGGGCTGTTGTACCTAGGGTCGCTATGGGTCGCAAGCAACTCGATGGCACATAACAACAAAAAGAAGATGCAAATCAAAACAATGAAATCATTCACTCTGATAACAGTAAAGTTCAACAAGACAGCAAACAAATACTGGCTGGTGGAAAGACTGGAAGTCTCATACACTGCTGGTGGTAAGATGTAAAATGGTGTAAGGAAATGTAAGGAAAGCAGTGTGTCACTTCCTTAAAAGGCTGAAAATGCACCACAACAAGATAAAGGTAAAAATCCAACAGGAAAATAGGCACAGGATATGAACAGGCACTTCACCGAGGACGACATTCAGATGGCTAGTAAGCACATGAAGAAATGTTCAAAATCCCTAGAGATGTAAATCAAAAGAACTATGAGATACATCTCACCCCAGTCAGAATAGCAAAATTTAACAGAACAACAACAAAAAAATTTAACAGAACAGCAAGCAACAAATGCTGGCAGTTGTGGAGAAACTGGAACCCTTATTCACTGTTCATGGGAGTGTAAAATGGTGCAACCACTGTGGAAGGCTATATGGCGCTTTCTCAAAAAGTTGCAAACATCCAAATTCTCTGTAAATGTTCATTAAAATTATTTTTTAAAAAAGTTGCAAACAGAGATACCATTTGACCCAGCAATTCCACTACTGGGAATATACTCTAAAGGGACCATAATTGACATACAAGTAGATATATGCACACCCATGTTTATGGCAGCTTTGTTCACAATAGCAAGGAGTTGGAAACAACCTAAGCCCATCAACAAACAAATGGCTAGAGAAGCTGTGGTATATTCGCACAATGGAATACTATGCTGCATTGAAAAGCAAGCAACTCATGCAATATTATTCAAAATGGGTGACCCTGGAGGACATTATGCTGAGTGAAGTATCTCAGTCACAAAAGGACAAATATTGCATGGTGCCACTGTTGTAAAACGAGACTGACCTCAGGGTTGGGGGAAGACTGAGATGGGTTCAATACTGTATACTGCACTGAAACAGATGAGGGAGAAAACTGTTTAAAAGGGATATGTGATGTGGTATTTTTTTGTCATGACAGGAGTCCATAGCAAAGGCTGCATAGTGGAGTGGACCTGGGGGGAGGGACTGTAAAACAATGAAAGAATTTTTCTTTTACTTTTCCAAGAGGGTAGTAGACTGAAGGGGAGGGCTGGGAGGAGAGAAAAGTGCAACAATGAATGAATGGAAATCTGAAGTCTCTGTAAATTTTAATTGAAGTTAATAAATTAAAAAAAACACACAAAACAACTAAAGAGAAAAAAAGGGGAAAAAAAGGCTGAAAATGGAAGGTGTATATCTTAAGTAAGAGTTACTTATTATGAACTGATATATGCACTTCATGTTTACTGCAACATTATTTACAAGAGCAAAGAGCTGGAAACAAGCCAAGTGTCCATCAAGTGTCTGTCCACGGTTAAAGACACTATAGCATAGTCACACAATGGACTATTAATAATGAATGACAAACAATTCACCAAACATTGGACAAAAGGGATCAATCTAGAGGAAATGATACTGTATGTCAGTCACAAAAGGACAAATCTAAGACCACAATTCTAAGAAGCTAAAGAGAATGGTTTACACAGAATCATTCTTGGAGAGTTAAAATGAATGGGAATGGAGGGAGACAGGAGTCAAAATAGGTAACAGACAATAAGTGGGAAAGGCAACAAGAGGTTGAAACATAATAATGAAAGAAAATAAACTGTGCTTAAATGATGAAAAGAAAAACCAGTAAGAGTTGGAAACTTCCATTCAAATCAGAGTAAGAGAAAAAGCTACAGCATGATAAAGGTTAAGAATTATTGATGGAGTATTTTTTTTAAATTATTGATGTATTTCTTAATAAAACTTGTTAAGAAGGCTGGATCTAAAACAAAACAAAGCAAAACACACACAAAAAAAACAACAAAAAAAATTAAAAGAAAAAGGTGGCTGGATTTTATTTAATCAATACTCCCAAACCACTGAACCTACTAAAAAATTCCCTGGACTCATGGTAGCAGGTCTGGTTCGAGTAGGGAAAAAGCAATAGTTGTTTTCATAATGAAAAAGAAAGTGTAATTAGGTCTTCTGGAGAAAAAGGTAAAAGAAGAGCTGACAGCAATCTACATCTTAAAAGAGTGGACTGCTGCTGTGAGTACGTAGGCAGAGAAGTAAGAATGTTGGGAGTATTGCAAGCAATTTAGTTTGAGCAAACAAGGTTGGCAAGGCTGTTAAGAGCAGTAAGAGTTAGGAGTGAAATGTTTGTTGTTGTGGTGGTGTACCACAGATTTAGAACTGACCCAAAGTTAACCCTTTATGGGACTTTCAGAAGCGATAAATTGCATAGGAGACTGCCCATATTTCTCCTGAAGAGCAGCTTGTGGATTTGAATCTTTGGGTTGGAACTTAATTCCTTACCACTAAACCTTTGAGTTGTGGTGCTGGAGGAGAGTACTGAACAGAAAGGTTCATCCTGGAGAGGGTGAAACCATGCTGCTTCTTGGAAGCAAGGAGTTTGAAGCTCCATCAGAAATACTTTGGGCATGTTGCAAGAAAGGACCAGTCCTTGGAGAGGGATATCATGCTTGGGAGTATGGTGGGACAGTGTAAGAGTGGTACACCCTGGATGAGATGGCTTGACATAGTGACTGGAGTAATGGGAATAGGTATGTCAGAGACAATGAGATTGGCTCAGGATAAAACAGGGTTCAGAGAGCTGCTGTATACAGGGTCACTATGAGCACAAGTGACTCAACAGTACATAATAACAAGACAACACAGTGAAATGTAGGGCCCCTTTAAGGAGCGTGAACACTATGTTTTTGGTCTTTGTGCAGTAAGCCATGGAAGCCTATCTTCTGACTACTGAGACTGACTTAATTTATTTTAAGGAAGACTAAAACCACCATTATACTAAATTTTTTTTTTTTTTACACGTTGGGAACCTCTTGTTTAATAAAGTTTTTTCTTAAAATTTTTAAAAATGCTAAACAATGTGTGAAATAATTACCCTTCCTAAATCTCTGACTTTATTTGTGTATCTCATCTCTAAGCTTCTCATACAGATTAGGGCTGGACAAGAGATTATGAAAAAGCTTTAGTCAGAAAAGTCTATGACAAATACTACTTGATAATCAACATGAAAGTCTTTAAGTTTCAGTAACTGTTAAATGACCTCAAATTATCATTATCAAAATGTCCTTCTTACAGAGTAGGATCTCTGACCAGTGACTTTTTTTCAAGTTGATGTTAAGACCTTATGAAACCTATGAATCTTTAAGGCCTAAGGAAAGGGAAACCAGATATTTGTCTAGGTAGCGCAGGTACCTGCTGGATTTGTTGAAGCATTTCAATGACTCGAATATAGTCCAGGTAAACAAGTCCAGATGTCTCCCAGTCCTGAATTAAGCTGCTGCGGTCTGGGGGTGACAGGTCTTCCAAGAACCCCTTTAGGTAGTCATAGTTCTCATTAATGATGGCATCTGAAAAAAAGAAAATATTACAAATTATGTCTGCACCAGTACACAGTTCCTCAAAGTATAGAACAGGGCAGAAATTTAAGCTAGGAAGAAAGGGAAATGTCAGGTCAGACTTGAAAGCTGTAAGTACATAGGTGGAAACTCTCCAAAGGAAAAATATAAAAATCTCATTTAAGGAAGTCTCCAACCAACTATTTTTGGTGCTGGTGAATGACATTTCCCTATATGAAAAGCTGAATGTAACTGGTACACATCTGCCATATTCCTGACAAATTTTAAGTTGACAGTATTGTTATCCAGCCCTGCCTGTTCACTCACTCATTTTGGCCAAGGTTGTTCTGCATTAGAGAGCTTTCTCCACATATGATTTATGTCTACCACTGTCTTTTCAGAGCAGCTGTGGCCTATCATGAGAGTTCAATGTTGGAGAGTTTGGGGTGACTCAGGAAGACTGAGGCCCCAGAGCCTGAAACACTCACCAGAAGCTAGGTGTCGGATGATGAGCTTGTGGCAGCAGTTCCAGTGGCCAGCTTTAAATAAATAAAGGGCCTCCAAGTGCTTGTTAGACTCCACGCGCGCTCGTACCGCCTTGGCCTCATGAATCCACTCAGCAGGAACACACAGTTTCTGGGTCAGGAAATTCTCCTTAGCCCATGATTCAGGGGTCTCTGATAGCTGGCAGTGTCGGGTCAGCAACTCTCGGACAGCCTTCTCACGCATGCTATATGAAAAAGAGTAAAGTGGAATTAATCCATTTCATAGAAAAGACTGTTCCAAAGAGCTCAGGGTGACCTATGGGACGACCTTTCAAACAGGAGAATGTGACTCTTGGTGGAACATGTCAAAAATTATAAAACAATCAGAAGTCATCAAAATAGCATTTATTTGTTACATGGAATAGGACAGATATAAGGATTTAATTTATAGGGAAGGTAAATGTTTTCATGGTTAAGAAGCTTTAAAACAAACAAAGATGAAAGCAACTATGAGGTATCATCTCACCCCAGTAAGAATAGCAAAATTTAACAGAACAGCAAACAATAAATGCTGGCGAGGTAGTGGAGAAACTAGACCCTTATTCACTGTCGGTGGGAGTATAAAATGGTGCAAACACTCTGGAAGGCTGTATGGCGCTTTCTCAAAAAGGTGCAAATAACATTTGACCCAGAAATTCTACTACTGGGAATATATCCCAAAGAAACTGTTAACTGTCACCCAGGTAGATATATGTACACTCATGTTTACCACGGCTTTGTTCACAATAGCAGAGTTGGAAACAACCTAAGTGCCTATCAAAAAACAAATGGAGAGAGAAGTTGTGGTATACTCACACAGTGGAGTATTAGGCTGCACTAAAAAACAAGGAATTCATGAACTACTATTCAAAATGGGTGACCCTTGAGGACATTATGAAGATGGGATAAATTATGTATACTGCATTGAAACAGATGAGGGAGAGAACTGTTTAAAAGGGATATGTGATTAGGTATTATTATATTATATTAGGTATTATTGTCATGAAAGGAATCCAGAACAAAGGCTACATAGTGGAGTGGACTTGGGGGGAGGGATTGTATAACAGTGAAAGAATTTTTCTTTTACTTTTCAAAGAGAAGAACAAACTGGGGGTGGGGCAGGGAGAAAAGTGAAACAATGAATGAATGTAAATCCAAAATCTCTGTCAATTTTCATTAAAATTAATAATAATAATAATAATAAAAATTCTCAAAACAAACAAAAACCCAAAGAAAGAAGGGCATTCTCCTCCTGTTAGGATTTTCAACCAGATGTTTGGTTTTCATGAGTCCGAGAGCAATGAGCTTTTTTACAGTTCCCTGCAATAACTTTGGAGATAAAAGACTGATGTACCTTGCTTATCACTTAACTCACTATAATATATGCTACATATTTACTTGCTGAACTGACCAGTTAGACCTGCCCTGTGAATACAATGGTTTCTCACTCACCTTGAGTTGGCAATATGCAGTAAGACAAAAACGGCCCACTCCCAGAGGCCTTCCCTCTCCAGCTGGCCAGCATAGCTTGCTTGGAGCACACCCTCACACTGCTCTGAGAGATGGGTGTAATTAAGAGCCCGCAGCACCTCCCACAAATGCCAGCTCAGACGGTAGTCCAAGGGATCTGCTGTTATGCTTCGAGGTTCCAACAGTTGTTTGAGGTCATAATGTCTACAGAGATCAAGAGAATTACTAAGTATGTGTCATTTCCAGCTAGCAATCCACCTGCATCTGATAGCTAATGTTATAGCTAAGATTCCGAAGACAATAAATGCACTTGAGAACAAAAGCATCATTGTAGGCCTTCCTTAAATCTGAGACTGTGCTGTATCAACTCACCCTTAGTTTATATGAACAAATATCCACAAGATGCCTTCTCTTCTGAGGCTATGCGATGTAACATGTTTGCTGGCACTAAGTAAACATATATTTTACCATCTTGGTACAGGAAATTTTCACTATTCTCTTTCTTCCATTTCTTCATTCAGTTGTCTATTACTTTAACTATTTTAAAAGTCTAGTTATCTTAATCTTATTGTTTTTCAGTTTACCTCAACAGCAAAATAGTCTTCTCAATGGTTATTTCTTATTACAAGTTTGAAATCCCTGATTTTGTCTATAGTGGTCTGATTTTTGACATAGAAATCTAGCTGCACTAGGTTTTAAAAATGATTCTACAAGTTTTTTTCTTTTTCTTATGCTGGGACCCAAAGATTTCAACAGCCCTGGACCAATTTACACGTAGTTCTTAGTTTCCAATTTCCAGACCATAAGAGTACAGTCGTAAAAAAAAAAAAAAAAGAGTACAGTCGTATCTCAGCAATACTGTGAATTTTGTTCCAAACCACCACAATAACGTATTATCAAACAAAGTGAGTTACACAAACTTTTTGGTTTCTCAGTGTATATAAAAGTTATTTTTACATATTTGTTTTTTAAAAAGTTATTTTACACTATTCTGCAGTCTATTAAAGGTGGTGTAGTTTCAGAGAGCTATGGTGGTAGCAGAGAGCTGCATTGCTAGCCAAAAGGCCACACCTCTCTGGGAGTCTGAATCCATAGGAGAATGAGCAACCTTCTCTCGTGTGATATATGTTCTTTAAAAATGGGCTGAAGGGTCAGCTATGAGTTGATTCCAACTTGACAGCAATGATTGTGACATTTGACTTTGGTGGTATGATATACTGTGTTATAGGTTGCTAAGTGAAAAACCAATGGTTCAAATCTACTAGCCATTTCAGCGGAGAAAGATGAGGCGGTTTCCACTTAGAAAGATTTATAGCCTCAGAAATCTGATGGATGGCTTCCACGAGTTAGAATCAACTGGATGGCAAGTGGGTTTTTTATGGTATGAAAAAGTGTGAAGGATAGTGAGGATTAGTGAAACAGACACAAAGCTAGCATATGCAGCTAGAAAAAGTAGCCCTGAGTGAGTTGGCTGACATAGCTAATACAAACTTTCCAATGTGTTTTTTTTAAAAAAGGTAGTAGCTATGAAATACAATCAAGTATAATAAAATGAGATATAATGGTGTAGGATTTAGATTTCTGAACAATACTGTTGTTTTCATCTAAAACCTGGCCCCCCAACTACAATTTCCTAATGTCTCTTTGACTAAATGGGTATTTTTTCTAGATCAGTACTGTCCAACTCTGTGATGAGTGAAATGTTCTACAATATGCCTAGATCAGTACAACAGCCTCTAGCCACATATATCTGAAATGATAATCTAATTTTAGTTCCATGAGCTCTCCACTAAGTACCTGATGCTCTTAGGATGATATATATACAGACATGTGGCTATTTGGTGCCATATGAAAATGAAAAAGATTAAGAAAGAATTCTCTCTATAAAGCTTAGGGTTCTTCCTAGATTTTCTCTGATGAATTTTGGTCTTCGGTTTTATTGCTAGGTCCCTGATTCACCTTGAGTTGTTTAGTATAAAGTGTTCTATAATGCTTAGGCAAATACTCTTAGCTGACTATAATTCTTAGCTCTGGTTTACCTGTCACTGTAGAGTTTCAGAAGGTGAAAGCAGACATCTCGAAGTGGTCTCTGCAAATCTTGCTCCTCTTCTATGACATAGCCTGAGCCCTCAATGTAGGAAGGAAGTGGGGAGCAGGCATATCTGTCATCCTCAGAGGTATTCTGAAGGTAAGAGTTAGATAAAATAATACATTACAGTTCCCCTTTACGTATCATTACCTCATTACCTAACATTTCCCATTCATGACAACAGAGAGGGAAAACAAAACAAAACAAAACTACCATCTGACCACTTCATGCATTGTTATTGTTAAGTGCTGTTGTGTCCAGGGATGTGACCCATAGTGATCCTATAAACAAGAGATCTGAAATGATATAAATTTGACAAAAAGAATGCTAAGGCACTAGTGAGAGCAACACCAGTTGTGATAGTTAAGATTACGTGTCAATTTGATTAACCCTTGATTCTGGTTTGGCAGTTATGAAGTGATACACTCTTCCTCCATTTGGGGATCTGAGATATTCATCATCTACTTCAATGTGGATTTTCACATAATGACTTGGTCTTTAGAACTTAATCATGTCCATATATGAGGAACATGTGCAGTCTGTCTCAAGTGCAATATTTTAATTAACTAGACATTTGTATTAAGAATGATAAAGAGCCACCACAACAAGATAAAGGTAAATAACCCAATTGAAAAATGGACACAAAGAGAGCTTTGGTGGTCTAGTGGCAGGAAGCTGCACTGCAATCCCAGAGGCGCATGGTTCAAATCCACCAGATGCTCTGCTGGAAAAGGAGGGAAAATATCCTCCTGTACCAGTCATATCAGATTTGAGGGTATGCACACAAAAAAATAATAATAAAAGAGAGAAAAAGGGGCACAGGATATGAACAGACACTTCACCAAAGAAGACATTCTGATGGCCAACAAACACATGAAGAAATGTTCAAAATCCTTAGCTCTAAGAGAGATGTAAATCAAAACAACTATGAGGTATCATCTCACCCCAGTAAGAATAGCAAAATTTAACAGAACAGCAAACATCAAATGATGGCGAGGTTGCAGAGAAACGTGAACCTTTATCCATTGTTGGTGGGAGTGCAAAATGGTGCAAACACCGTGGAAGGCTATATATGGTGGTTTCTCAAAAAGTTGCAAATGGAAGGGGAGCTCTGGTGGCCTAGTGGTAAGGAGCTGCAACTACAATCCCAGAAGTGCACGGTTCGAATCCACCAGATGCTCTGCCGGGGAAGGAGGGACAATCTCCTCCTGTACCAGTCAGATCTGATTTGATGGTACACGCACACAAAAAAATAATAAAATAAAAAACAAACAAACAAACAAAAAGTTGCAAATGGAAATGCCATTTGACACAGCAATTCCACTACTGGGAATATACTCTAAAGAAACCATAACTGCCACCCAAGCAGATATATGCACACCCATGCTTCCTGTGGCTTTGTTCACAATAGCAATGAGTTGGAAACAACCCAAGCGTCCATCAACAAACAAATGGATAGAGAAGCTCTGGTATATTCACACAATGGAATATTATGCTGCACTGAAAAACAAGGAACTCATGAAATACTGTACAAAATGGGTGACCTTGGAAGACATTATTCTGAGTGAAATATCTCAGTCACAAAAGGACAAATACTGCATAATGCCACTGCTGTAAAACGGGACTGACATCAGGGTTGAGGGGAGACTTAGAGAGGATAAATAATGTACACTGCATAGAAACAGATGAGGGAGAGAACTGTTTAAAAAGGATATAGATTAGGTATTACTGTTATGACAAGAGTCCAGAATGAAGGCTGCACAGTGGAGGGGAGGGGAGGGACTGTATAACAAAGAAAGAACGTTTCTTTTACTTTTCAAAGAGAAAAGCAAATTGGGAGGGAGGGGTGCACAAGGAGAAAAGAGCAACAATGAATGAATGGAAAGCCAAAGTCTCTGTAAACTTTCATTACAATTAATAAAAAGGTATCTGAATCCTCCAGCTACTCCATAGGAGAAGGGAAGTTTCTTCCCATTTAATTTACTGCCTCTGAAAACCCACTGGAGGGTCAGCTATGGGTCAGTTCCAACTCAGCTGTATACAACAAATGTGTTTGAAATTGCATGGGTTGATATTTTGAGGCAAGAAAATACCAGTGAGAATGTCATCTTTGGAATCTCATCATTTAAAAAAAAAATTCAAGAGTAGCCTTCTCCAGAGGTAGCAAGAAAAAAGTTTCCATCAGATTTTTTGGGTCCTTTTCAATTTTATAGTATTTTTAATAAAGGCAGTTAATAAAAGAGTATTTTGAGAAATGTAATTTGACATTTTGGGGTTTCCTTCATAAAACTTTACTCGCAAAGAGAGAACTTCCACCTGAATGGCTCTACTGGACACACAAACCTGAAATGCTTCTTCATACATGCTGAGTGCTCTGGAGATGGAGGCTGTAGGTGGAAGCAGATACCAGAGATGAACAGCCAAGGAGCGTTTCCAATCCAATTGAGAACAAACATTGATTTGCTTTTGCTCTGAGAGCTTCCACACCTGCAAGAGACAAAAATCATCATGTAAGTTTTAACTTATTGTTCATACTGTCTTAGTTTGCAAATTACTCATTAATTCAAGTAATATTTTAAATAATTTAGATGCTAGTGTTAATAATCCAGATATAAAATATACATCTTCCCTTGATGGCAAATATGAGGTGAGAGGTTAGATTTTTTTAAAAAACCAAACACCACAACAATCAATGATCTGAAGAAAGAGATGAGAGCCACTGAGAGGTCAAAGCACTACTTCACACTACTCACAGTTGGTAATCTGTAAACCTTTAACCTCAGAAAGGCACTGCATCTACATAAATTCTGACAGGTGATTAATATTTTGAGATTTGACTTAAAAAAAAAAAATCAAGGTCTCCACATCAACAAACGAATGGATAGAGAAGCTGTGGTATAGTCACACAATGGAGTACTACGCTACATTGAAAAACAAGAAACTCATGCAGTATTATTCAAAATGGGTGACCCTGGAGGACATTATGTTGAGTGAAGTATCTCAGTCACAAAAGAACAAATACTGCATGGTGCCACTGTTGTAAAACAGGACTGACATCGGGGCTGGGGGGAGACTGAGAAAGATGGGTTCAATAATGTATACTGCACTGAAACAGATGAGGAAGAAAACTGTTTAAAAGGAATATGTGATTAGGTATTTTTGTCATGACGGGAGTCCAGAGCGAAGGCTGCATAGTGGAGTGGACCTGGGGGGAAGGATTGTAATACAGTGAAAGAACTTTTACTTTTCCAAGAGGGTAGTGTACTAAAGGGGAGGGTTGGGAGGGGAGAAAAGTACAATCAATGAATGGAAATCCAAAGTCTCTGTAAATTTTCACTGAATAATAATAATAAAAAAAAAAAATCTAGGTCTCAAAACAACTATCATCTCACCTCAGCAACAATAGCAAAATTCAACAGGTCAGCATGTAACAAATGCTGGTGAGCTTGTGGAGAGACTGGAACTCTTATTCACTGTTAGTGGGAATATTAAATGGGACAGCCACTATGGAAAGTGGTCTGGTGCTTTCTCAAAAAGTTGGCAACAGAAACACCTTTTTTTTTCCCCCCAGAAACACCTTTTGACCTAGCAATTCCACTACTGGGACTAGAGTCACGACTCGAACAGATAATATCCACACTCAGGTTTATTGCTGCATTATTCACAATAGCAAAGAGATGGCAGCAACTCGAGTGCCTATCAACAAGTGAATGGATAGAAAAACTGTGGTACATTCACATAACGAAATACTATGCAGCACTGAGAAACAATGAACTCATAAAACATTACACAATATGGGGGAGCTTGGAGGATACTATGCTGAGTGAAATACCTCAGTCACAAAAGGATAAACACTGCATAACACTGTTATAAAATAGGATAGACATGGGATGTTTGGGGGAGAGAATGGGAAAAGAGTGGCTAATGAACACTGCAATAGAATGGATGAGAGGAAGAACTGTCTGAAAGGAATACAGAATTAGGCATTATATGTATGACAATCTGGAACAAGGGGTGTGTTGCAGGGTCGATTGAGTCAGGTAAAGAAAATGTTCAACAAGGAAATTTTTTTTTTTTTAATTTTTGTGTGAGTGTACCGTCAAATCAGATCTGACTGGTACAGGAGGAGATTGTCCCTCCTTCCCCGGCAGAGCATCTGGTGGATTCAAACCGTGCGCCTCTGGGATTGTAGTTGCAGTTCCTTGCCACTAGGCCACCAGAGCTCCCCAGGAAAAATTTTTGAAAAAAGTTTCTGTGGGGTTGAACTAATTTATAACATGGAACAGAAGCAGTCACTGAAAGAAAAAAGTTGTAGGACTTGTAAATATGTCCCTGAGTACTCAACTCTTTAACTCAACTGCTGTCCAGTTGGAAGCAACTCATATCTGAACCCCTAGTGGGTTTTCAGATGCTGTAAAATCACTCAGGAGGAGACTGTCTATCTTTCTCCCAGTGAAGGGCTGGTGTATTTGAAACTACTTGCCATTGGGTTGGCAGTACGACTCCCTAGACACTATGAACAGTAAACTTTCAGAACTACTACGTATAACTGATTTCATTTTTACACACACTCCCTTCTAAATAAACATTTATATAAATTTAAGACTGCATCTGGAAAAGACATGCAATAAATAATTATTATCTTTATGAGATGGGGAATTTCAACATTTTAATTTCTATATAATTAGTGTTTTATAATATACACATTCTGCCTTTATAACTTGAAAAGATATCCATTAAAAGTTAAAATATAAATTTGAGTTGCACATAATCAAGTGCAATTCACAAAGTTAACACTTTATGTAAACCTTATGCAGTCTTAGATTTATGTGATAACATATGCAAGTCCATGAGCAACATAATTTACCGGTTTTCCAGCCAACAGGGCAAAAATGCGCAATCTCTCATCCTGGATGAAGCAGTCAGCCTGGAGCTGATGCCAATCTGCCAGCTGCATGGTGAGCAGCTCCCTGAAGGACTGGCTGCCCACCAGCTGGGATAAAAGGAGGGCAAGACGATGATCACCTGGAAATCAAATAAAACTTTTAGTGACTACCGAGTATATTTTAAGCTTTGATGGGACAACTAGGGCACTATCTTTTTACATTTTCCAGCTCTTGGAAGGAAAAACTTAACTCCTTTGACTAAGCTTTACAGTATTGACAAAACAAGGACTAAAAACATCATTTTCCAGTTGTTTAGAAAATCTGATAAACAGTTTAACCTAAATAAAACAGGCCAATTCTTTATCTATTGTGTTATGAGTCAGAAATAACAGCTTAATTCTTCTGTGTTCCAACGCCCACACCTGGGCCATTACCCTATTGTGCCAGCCACTGATCCTCAGAGTTGGAACACTTCAATACCCTTCCAGGAGCACATACTGCCACATCTATGCAGGCTTCAACTGGATCTGGTAACATGGTATTCGTATGGCGGATTTGCTATTAGAAGTACAACATTAAATTGTAAGTTTGCTGTATTTGGGGAATTCATTCTTCTAGTTAGTAGAAGACCTATCAGTATACTGTACTCAGGTAACTTGTGGGTTGCTGACATGCTGAAAACTTTGCAACCAATCCGTCAAATGCCACAAGGGCCATCCACGGTGGAGAGGTTTTTAGTAGCACTCCCAGATTAAAACAGACATTGGCCATTCACTTCTTAAATAGTAGGCCTCTGAAAACCCTATAAAGAGCAGAAGAACACGGATAGTTCTCGTATCTGAGGTAGACCCAGGCTGGAAGTCAATCAAAATGAGGAAAAATAGAGGCAAGTATTCTTTAATAACTGGGACAAGGAATGAATGTAGGAAAACTAGAAGTTGTGAAAAATTAGATGGAATGCATGAATACCTATATTCTAGGCATTAGTAAGATGAGATGGACTAGGTTTGGCTACTTTGAATCAGATCCAACATGGTATACTAAGCTAGAAATGAAAAATGGAAATAGTGTTGCACTCATTTTACCAAGTCCTTAGGTTTACCATTTATAAACTACTTTTCCCCTTACCATTGTCAAGATACTAGTTTTCAGATTATGGGAAATTTGTATCCAAAAATGAGAAATAAACTATAGAATAGAGTCCCATGGCCTTTACTTTGGAGAAATTAGTAATCTTCCAGGGAGATTATGTGTAATGTTTTCAGGTTAGAAGACAAAAGAAAATCTATAATTAACGAGTAGCTGAAATAAGATAGGAAGCAGGCAGGGGTGCAGAGGGTAAGAAACCTTACCTGACTGCTGAGCCAGACAGCAGGCTTCACTGATCCTCTTGCCTGTGAGGTAGCTGAAAACAGCCTCTATGGGATTGTCTTTCTGGGTTAAGGAGACTTCTTCCTCAATTTGAGGTGCAGCAGTATGGGAGAGCCAGCGGGAAAAGGCTCTTCGACGTACCAGAACCTGAATGTATTCACTGGGTTTATCCAGCTGGCTTTCAAGCTCCTTCAGGTGGCCCCAGAGGGCTTCACATAATGTCCAAGTCAGGCTCCAGTGCTTAACAACTAAGGACAGGACAGGAAAATAATGCTATGACACAAAGTTTTACAATAAATCCTGAGTGACTGTGGCTTAAAAACCAAAAATTAATAAAGAAAAACTCCAACAACCACTCAAATTTATTTCCCTGCATCTGTCACCAGCTCACCCAGCTTTATCAGCTCCAGAAACGTTATCCTGTGGTACTTTCATAACAAACTTAACTGTGTACTTCTTTAAACAACCCCATTATGAAAACAAATGTTTCTCCAAAAATGTAACCTACTCTAAACTTCTAAAGGGTTATCCACTTTTCTCTTACTATAGGGTAAAGGTGGTATCAGAGTGATACAAACAAGTAGTCATCTACTAACCTAAAATGTAATGGCTCAAGCTCACTCAGAAGTACATCAGAACAAAACTTGGTGATCTGTTTCTGAGAGATCATAGTCACTGAAACCCTATGGATAAGACTCCTCTGAGAAACATGGGTTAGAACTGACTCAATAGCAACTCTCCCTCTACCTCCTATGGTAAGGAATGGGTTAGTTAGTTAGTTAGTTAGGCATTGAGCCTAACTACACTGCTCAAAGCCCTTAGTGTAAGACAATTCCATTCTACACAAAAGAACTTTAAGGAGGCAGTAGTTAACAATCTTTGTTTTAGAGATGATGAAACTGAGATGCAAAATTAAATGATTTGCCCACACTTATAGACAAGATTCCAATATAGGCAATCTGAATACAACCACTATGTCATACTGCCCGCTCAACAAACAAACAAAAAAGGTATACTATTTATTGCTTCAAGCCACTTACAAATATATGGAGAAATAACTTACACATTTGAAAAGATGAGAAGCAAGCACACAGGAATGAATATAATTAAGCCCAAACATGTAGTATGAAATATTTTCAAATATTACTCATACTTTAATGAACAGTATTCATTTTTAGTATGTGAGCAGTTTCTGTGAGAGCTGGGAACAACAGACTGCCTGGTTTTTCTGAGTCTAAAAATATTTGTCTTACCACTTTTCTATCATGCTCTATTTTTATGTGAAATATTTTCATCTTCCTTCTGATAGGTTTCTACTTCAGCATTTTCTTTCTGATTTTTGCAGGTTTTGATGTGGTTAAAGTTGATCTTTATATAGTTCAGAATATTAAATTTGTAAATTAGGAAAAGGAAATGTATCTTTATCAAAGTCCTGGTTTAGCTTGCTATGGTCACAACATCTATAAAAAGTTATAATACTAAAAAGGTCTGAAAAGTAATTTCAAACACTTAAGATAAAATACAGAACAATCTCACTGATTTCACATGCAAGCAAGATTTTACTGAAGATTATCCAAAAACTACTGGAACAGCACATCAGCAGAGAATTACCAGAAGTCCAGGCTGGGTTTAGAAGGGGTCGTTGGTACTAGGGATAGTGTAGCTGATGTTAGATGGATCTTAGCTGAAAGCAGGGAATACCAGATGAATATCTGTGTTTCATTGACTATGCAAAGGCATTTGACTGTGTGGATCATAACAAACTATGGCTGACTCTGAGAAGAATGGGAATCCCAGAATACTTGATCGTGCTAATGTGAAACCTATACTTGGACCAGGAGGCAGTCGTCAGAACAGATCAAGGGAACACTGCATGGTTCAAAATTGTGAAGGGCGTACGCCACGGATGCATCCTATCTCCATACCTTTTCAACCTATATGCAGAACAGATTATCTGGGAGACTGGGCTCTATGAGGAGAAATGTGGGGTCAAGATTGGTGGATGATTTAGCAACAATCTGCGTTATGCAGATGACACCACCCTGCTTGCTGAAAATGAAGAGGACCTGAAGCACCTGCTGCAGAGGGTCAAGGACTGCAGCCTCCAATATGGATTGAGGCTCAATGTCAAGACGACAAAGATTCTCACCACTGGACCAATTGGCAGCATCAGGATGGATGGTGAAGAGATTGGGATTGTACACAGCTTTAGTTTGCTTGGCTCCATAGTCAACAGTCTTGGCACCAGCAGCCAGGAAATTAAAAGGGAAAGTCTGCTGTTAGGGACCTCTCCAAAGTACTGAAGAGCAATGGTGTCTCTCTGGAGACTAAGTTGCGTCTGATACAGGCCATGGTCTACGCAATCACTTGTTATGCATCAGAGAGTTGGACAATGACCAAGGAGGATAGAAGGAGAATTGATGCCTTTGAGCTGTGGTGCTGGAGAAGAGTATTGAGAATACCATGGACTGCTAGGAAAACAAACAGATTTGTCCTGGAAAGGGTTAAAGCAGGTGGCTCCTTGGAGGCAAGGATTCTGAGGCTCCGTCTAACATACTTTGGACATGTTGTGAGGAGAGACCGGTCCTTGGAGAAGGACATCATGCTTGGGAGGGTAGAGGGACAGAGCAGGAGGGGAAGGCTCTCTGTGAGGTGGACTGATTCAGTGACTGGGATAATCGGCATGGGAGTGTCAGAGACAGTGCAAATGGCACAGGACAGAGCAGAGTTTAGGGCTGTTGTAACATAGGGTCGCTATGAGTCGCAAGCGACTCAACGGCACATAACAACAAAGATAAAATAGACTTGAACACGGTATGAAAGAATTAGTGTCTTTTAGAAAATTAAGAATGGAAAATATATTTCCATTTTTTGTTCTCTGGAGTAGGAAACAAGTTGCATGCAACACTGAAGGATGCCATGGGCAAATTCCTGAACTATAGAAAAGTAACAAAAATGACGTATCTATTACACTGATGTAAGAAAATCTGCACTACATATACCTTATGCCAGATGTATTAAAACAGTGACTTTAACAAAGAGCTTGAGAACGGCAGAGATCAAGCTGGGTGAAGGATAAGGCCAGGTATCGATCTTTTGTTCACAGGATCTCTATCATTCACAGTCGACTCGACGGCATCTAACGACAATGCGCACACAGTACCATCCCTGTGCCTGGAACGTTAAAGGTTACAATTACAGTGCATACTCACTCTGTGCATCCAATGAGTCTCCTAATGCTTCTTTAGCCCAATGTGCGTAGTCATGAATGACAGCAACCCCCGGATTTGGCACAATGAGAGGACAGAGTTCATCCACATGGATGGTGCTATGTTTTAATTTGAGTTCTAAAGGTGTCTGGTATAACTGCAGGTCTTCATGTAGTTTCCTTTGTCTCAAACTGAGTTTTTCCAAATTAACCTTGAATGGAGACTCAGTTAGGCTGAAAGAGCAAATGAGGAGCACAACAGAAAATGAAGACAAGTCAGAAGCTAGATTTCCCTTTGTTTCGTTCTTTCTAAATTAATATTTTATTTGTGTGAAAGGTATACACCTTTATTTCTTTTTATGACTATGAACAGACTACACTGAATCTCTGAACAGCCAAAGGGTCAGCTATGGGTCATTTCCTGACGCTATGGTACATAATAACAACATACTAATCTAAAAGAACTCTGATGACTTAGTGGTAAGGAAATGAGCTACAATCTACCAGCAGCTCCTCAGGAGAGATAGGCAATACCTTCTAGTGTGATAACTGCCTCTACAAACCCACTGAAGGATCAATTGTGGGTCAGTTCTGAATCGATGGTACATATTAACAACATACTGAATTTAACCTATTTTAGAATGTCAAGAGATTGTGGAGGTTGAAGTATCAAAACCCACAAGGCTAACTTTAGATACTAAGTGATTCTAAATTAAGATGCATAAATAATCAGTTTGACCTTGATCCAGTTTCTAAAACTACTATTAACAACTTTTAAAATATCATGACATTGGGGGAGGGACACAGAAAAAATAAATGACATTATGCTTAGTTTAGAATTACGAGGTATGGGCTTTCTATTCCTAACTGGAGGTATTTGGGGGGTTTTATTTTTTAAATCAATTTTTAAAATGGAAGGAAAAAACACTGGTCATAATTAGTCTGAAATAAAGATATACAAAAGTTGAGTTGATATAATTATAAAAAGTCAACAGTAAAATATAAATTGCATATTTTTTAAAAAGTTATATAAATATTAGTTGAGAACTACAAGAAAATCTGATACATAATCTGTAAGGCTGGTGGCCTAGTGGCAAGCTGTGCTGAAATGCCCAAGGCAAGTAGTTCAAGGCCACCAGCTACTCAGCAGGAAAATGACGGGTGATTTCCTCCTGTATGATTAATGGCCTCTAAAAACCAACTGGAGGGCCAGCTGTTGGTGAGTTCTGAGTCTATAGTACAATAACAAGGCAGATAAATAGTGTCCATACAGTAAGCACGCATACGTGACTATTAGTGATGTAGAGTATGCAGAAACAGTTATATATATTTATGAACAGATTATTAAGGTCTAAGAAAACGCATTGAGTTGAGAATCCTATTTATTTATATATGAAGAAATCACAAAGACCTAAAAAAAAGAAAATCTAATAAAAGGAAAAAGTCAGTACCCTAAGGAATGTTATACTAATTTTGGGTTTGTTACTCTTCCAACTAAAGTTTATCCACTAGATGAGTATGGAATGGAAGAAATGATAGCATCACAGGGTCTTTACTTTTGTCTCAACATTTCAGGTTCTTCTTTTTCTCCTAACAAAAAATATTTCTCATCTACCATGGTACTTTTCTCAAAAAAGTATTAAAGTGACTCACGATTTAACAGCTACTGGGTTGGGCAGGAAACCATATTCCATAGAATCAGTAATCTGGTGATTTTCCAGTTCATGGGAGACACTCAGTTGTTCTCCTGTATTAGCAAGAGTCCAGTTGGGGCCCCAACCAACACGAAATGAGCGTCCCATGAACAGGGCCATGTCCATCAAGAGTTTCCCTTTGCCAAAAGTGATAGATTTTTCAAGAGGGACTAAGCCTGGCCGTCGACGTGTACCCACTGTTTTCAGAATAACTTCAGGGGCTGGACTGGGCACTGTAAACACAGAGGTCAAGGGTGGAGGGACAGACCAAGGTGATGTAGATGGGATATTGATTAGAGATGGTGTTTTGGGAGTATGACACTCTTGCACAGAGGCACTTGGTGAAAGAAAAGTTCCACTTGAAAATTTTGATTGTAGTAACCCACCAACTGAAATTAAAAAGAAATAAAGATTATTAGAAACTGTGGTCTACTGACATCCAGGCAGATATATGCACACCCATGTTTAACACAGCTTTGTTCACAAAAGCAAAGAGTTGGAAACAACCTAAGTGCCCATCTACAAACGAATGGATAGAGAAGCTGTGGTATATTCACACAATGGAATACTATGCTGCACTGAAAAACAAGAACTCATGCAATATTATTCAAAATGGGTGACTCTGGAGGACATTATACTGAGTGAAGTATCTCAGTCACTAAAGGACATATACTGCATGTTGCCACCGCTATTTAACAGGACTGACCTTGGGGTTGGGAAGAGACTGAGAAAGATGGGTTCAATAATATATACTGCATTGAAACAGACGAGGGAGAAAACTGTTTAAAAGGGATACGTGATTAGGTATTTTTGTCATGACAGGCGTCTAGAGCAAAGGCTACATAGTGGAGTAGACCTGAGGGAGGGTTTGTAAAACAATGAGAGAATTTGTCTTTTACTTTTCCAAGAGGGTAGTGCACTAGGGGGGAGGGTTGGGAGGGGAGAAAAGTGCAACAATGAATGAATGGAAACCCAAAGTCTCTGTAGATTTTTACTGACATTAATAAATTTTAAAAAATAACAAAAAAACCCCCTGCGGTCTATGGCTTCTTAAACAACTACAAAAAGCAGTGAATAAAACTATACAGTCTTAGCAAACTAATCAGATATGGATGATCAGAAGTAGATTAAGTCTGAATTGGCACAAATTTCATTTTTAATCAGGAAATCAGGATAGAAATGTTGATAATGATGTCAACAATACTCAATATTGTTAACAAATACTAGTATGAAAAATTAGCTAACCGTAATCTGTTAATAGACTATGTACAAAATTGATCGTGTATGTTCCATCCTTCAGTAACTCTTTATAATTTCCATTTTATAGAAGAAAAAAATTGACTCAGAAAAGTAACTTGTTTAAATAAAAAAAACTACGGGAGCTCTGGTGGCCTAGTGGCTAGAAGCTGCAACTACAATCCCAGAGGTGCACAGTTCGAATCCACCAGATGCTCTGCCGGGGAAGGAGAGACAATCTCCTCCTGTACCAGTCAGATCTGATTTGACGGTACACGCACACAAAAATAATAAAATAAAAAAAACTAAGATAAACTGTGAGATAAACCCTGACTGACACCAGTGATTGGTGCCCTTGTAAGGATCCTCAATGTAACCCTTTCTTAATATAAAGATATGATCAAAACTCAAATTCACATAATCCTAATTGTCAGAATGAGACTAAAGAGACTGAGGGATCCTGTGATTGTTCATGTACCTTTTTTGAATATAGCTATTACTACGGCCTGTCTTAAAATTTTATGGTTCTTGTCTACAGAATTACCAAAAGATTTTTACATGGTATCTATCATGGATTAAACTGTGTCTCTCAAAATATATAATGTAATACAGAAGTTATGTAATGGTCTCCCACCTTCTGATAAACCAAAGAGCTGTAAAATACTCTTAAGGGCATCACAGCCCTAATCCAACTTAGGGAGATCTCCCTGGGGTGTAGTTGATAATGTCTTTTATTTACTAGAGAAAAGGGAAAGAGAGTGAGTTCAGGAGGAAGGGATGGGGTAGGAGTGTAAAGATAACACTTCAGATCACTAAGGAAAAAGTGCATGAAGTGTGTCTTGCTGGACCTGGTGTAAAGAAGCTTAACACCAGTAAAGGGGAACAAAACCCACTGAGATTCCTGAGAATGCCTGGCCTACAGATGCTAAAGGAAACAATGACTTTCTTCCAAAACTGACAAAGCAGCAAATGAGGCTCTCCTTAGAGCTGGAACTCTAAATTTAACTTTTAGCCTCCCCAACTGTAAGAATAATTTTTTTTTCCTTTTTTAAAAGAATAATTTTCTATTTGTTAAAATGATCCACTTGTGAACCCAGTATGAATGGGAGAATGTTGCCAGACACTTGCAGGTGGCTCAGCAGGGGAAAGTAACTGCCCTGACCTCAGATAGCACCACCAACCTGGGTTCTCACACTGCACAGACAGCTGTTAAAAATGGCTTACTGTGCCACTTAGGATTTTGTGCTCAGACTGTCTTCTTATTCTGTACTTTCTTTCAGATTTTCCTGTAGTCAGTATTTTAATATTTCTTTATCTTTCTTTTTTAAGTTCTAGGATTAGCATCCTTATCTGTTATGTTTGGGTTTTGGTGTCTTTTGTGAAGAGGAACTAGTTAGCCATCTTACCAAGAAGTTCTTATCATCTTTCTTTATATGCAACAAAAATAGGAACCAAAATATATACAAATTCGTTTTCTCTTCAAACAATTTTTCTATTTTCAGCTTAAAGTTTGTTATCATGGGTCTTAAAAACTGACTGCTACTAATATATTTATTACAATATTTAATTTAGTACAAATTTAATATAAAATTTAGTACAATGTCTACTCCCCTTAGAAATGACGAGGGTGGCGGTTGGGGGTGTGAGTGTCATGGGGTTGACAGGACAAACTTTATCTCAAACTTTGGTCATGTTTTCAGGAAGCATCAGTGCCTATCATGCTGGGTAAAGAGTTAAAAAAATTAGGATGGCATAGGACTCACTAGGTTTATTTCATTCTGTTGTACAGAGGTGTTGCTATGAGCCAGAACAGTCCTGACATCACCTAACACTAGCATAACAGCCACCATAGTTATGGCCATTATGGAAAGAACAGAGAATCCCACTGAGAAGAAAATGAATCTTTATCTTTCCTATACCACAGCATTTTCTTTTACAGTACCTAATGAACGAGACTTTGATGGGTGGGATGCTGAAATAGGAAGTCTTGGAGAACAGATTTCTTGAGAAGTATCTGCTTTACAAGGAAGGCGGTTGAAACAATGATCCAGGGGCATCTCAGTATCTTCTTCATCAGCAAGCAATGATGCCTTCATGATCTAAAATAGGCAATTCCATGAAAGAAAAATGGTTTATGGTAACTGGTAACCAAGAAATTGTTTTGTCTCAAGGTTTGTATAACAGAGGTATAGAATACTGATGAAGGGGAGAAGCCATAGCATACCTTCCTATGATACAGTTTTTCCTAAGCCTGGCATATGGCCTCTGTTTACAGGTTTCCTGAATGAGCAACTTTAAAGTCAAGTATAAACCATAGGTTAAACTCAATATAACAAAAAGCACGGGCAAGAGGAGACTGAGGAAAAACCTGCTAACTCCTGGTTTGTCTCTATTTCTACCTTCCAACTTCTGCAAAATAATTTACAGGGTATCAAAACCACCCTGTGAAATAAATTTTTTTACAGAGGGAGAAAAAAAATTTGTGCTCATAGATGTTAAATGTGCCAAATTACAAAGCCAACAAAGTTATAAAATTATGATTAGACTCTAGGTATTCTAATTCCAATTAACATCTGATGTCTAATTCTCAGTCACTTTCTTCTGCTAGATCTTCCTAAATCGGAAAATAAGACCCAAATGTTGGCAGTGTTCCTGTTGTTCTGCTCTGTGTGCACTCAGTGCTCTTAAACAGACAGTCAAGGAAATGTGCTGATGTTATTTGAGAGTAATAAAATATTAGTTTGGCTTCCTGACAGGGTAAGTTAGGATTTCACCTGTAGAACATGTGGATTAATTCCCAATGAAGATGCAATTTGTGTTGAGGCTGACACAGGCTCCTGATCCTCAGGCACGCTCTCTTCTAACATGGAATCCAAAACTGGCTCCTGGGTGATATCTACCATGTCACTGTCCAGTTCCACAACCCTCCCTAACTGTTCCACCTCTGGGCTCTGGCTCTGTAGACAGCAAAAAATCAAGAAAGAGTATTAAACAACATCAGATAGAAAAATTTTATATTAGATTTAGTTAATTCATAACATAGTAATTAATTACATTCCATCATGAGATAAATGAAAACTCAACCTTCCTGTAAACATTCATTAAAATCACAATTAAAAAAAACATAGCATATTTGCTAAAGAGGATTTCATAATAATCACTTCAAAATCTCCTTTTAACTACTTAGGATCAAAATGAGGGATCCTGGGATCTTCCTTCTGTAAGCATTATGGTTTGGTGTCTAGAAACTTAAGCAAAAACACTCTATTTTGTTCCTAATAGTATCTTAGGAATACTTGCTCAAGCCATACCAAGGCTAATAGTCTACAAAGACTGCCTTACCTGATAGCTAGAAACTACCATTTCCTGATTTATAATTTCCCTGCCTCATAACACTTTGTAGCCAGATATCATTGGGAAAAGAAAGCTGAAGACTCCCAAGCCTCCACGAACTACATTTTCTTTAAGGATATATTAGGAAATAAATTTCTAGTGAATGATAATTCAGGGTCAGGAATATGTTTTTAATTCTTTTTAATATATTTAACATTTTTAACTGAACCCCAAGATTAGCCAGGTTCTACCTGTGTAGTATCATATAAGATCTAAGAAATACCGGATTTCCCAAAAAGACAAACAAAATTATGATTTTAGGAGTAATTTTATTCTGGGAATAATTTCTATGTTTAAAAGATTTAAGAATTAGGAATAATGAATGAATATTAAAAAGTGAACCGGGTCCTTTCCAGCTTGGTTCCGGCACTATGGCCCCCGCAAAGAAGGGTGGTGAGAAGAAGAAAGGCCGTTCTGCCATCAACGAAGTGGTGACCAGAGAGTACACCATCAACATTCACAAGTGCATCCATGGAGTGGGATTTAAGAAGCGTGCTCCTTGGGCGCTACAGGAGATCCGGAAATTTGCCATGAAGGAGATGGGAACACCAGATGTTCGCACTGACACCAGGCTTAACAAAGCTGTCTGGGCCAAAGGAATAAGGAATGTGCCATACCGCATTCGTGTACGGTTGTCCAGAAAACGTAATGAGGATGAAGATTCCCCAAACAAGCAGCATACACTGGTTACCTATGTACCTGTCACCACTTTCAAAAATCTACAGACCGTCAATGTGGATGAAAACTAATAGCTGATTGTCAAATAAAGTTATAAAACTGTCAAAAAAAAAAAAAGTGAACCGGGAGAGGGGGAAGGGAAGGCATGCAACAATGAATGAAAATCTAACTTTTCGGCAAACTTTCGTTAAAAATCACAATTAAAAATGTTAATAAAAAATTTAAGAATTATAGTCAATCTATTAAGCACCTGAATAATAACCATGATTAACAGTTTATATTTTGAAAAGGTAAAAACCCTCTTAAAAAACAAAAGGAGATTTAATACAGAAATGTATTATTGTTGAGGTGGTAATTCGCACAGGAGACTGACCATCCATCTTCCCAGGGAGCAGCTGGTGGATTAGAACAGCATGCCTTTGGAATTGCAGTGCAGCTTTTTACCACTAGCCCATCAAAACTCCCCTAAAGAATGGGGAGGAGGGGCCGGGGTGGGTAGATTTTATTACTAATTGCCAGAGGATGGGGAAAGGAAAGATGAGATACAATTACTTAAGGGATACAGAATTTTTGTTTAGAAAAATGAAAAATATTTAAAATGTAAAAAAAGGTTAAACTGACAAATGCTGGTTATATATGTCTTTTTTCGCCATAATTTAAAGAAACTTTTTCTCCTCTCCCCAATTTTTTCCCTCCTCCCCAATTTGTTAAAAAATAATTAACGGGATCAGTTATCTGTATAAATAACATAACCATGAGTTTAACTGGACATCTGGGCAAACTCAGGATAAAAAACAAAAGCAAAAGCTTCAAGTACATGCTACAACTGTTTCATTACAAATGAATAATGGCTTAAATTAATATATGACCGGTGAATTTAAGAAACATTTTTATTTCTGGAAAATACTAAGAAAATGACTGAGTACATTTATGACAGATTCTCATACCAAAAAAAAATCTATTACTTTATTTCCTACTGTATTATTCGTAAATATTTATCCTTTCACAAGTTTTGACAACCCTTTCCTTAGTAGTTTATTTTAGATTAACTTCCAAATGGATATTAGATAACAGTTAAGAAAAAAGTGTTTAAAAAAAAAGAAAAGAAAAAAGTGTTTTGTGTAACAAGTATTTATTTTATTGAAAATCAAAGGAATAAAAAGTAACCACCAAAAAAAAGAAAAAACTAAATGTTTTCATGATTTCTTTGGACAAAGTAACAACAATGAATATAAATTTTCAGCTTTATCCCTGCATTCTTTTAACAAATACTTAGTTACTAGGAATAAATGCAGCCCTTTAAAATCACAGAAAAATTCTGTTGGACTGTGATCTGCCAATTTTTGTGGGCATTTTCCAGGGCTAGAATACTAAAATTGTTGTAGGTTAGATAATGGTCAAAAGTCAATGTCATTGTATTTCCCCTAACTAAATCTTAAAATCCTGGAAGAGGGGGGAAGGCAAAAACCAAAATAGTAGCAGTAATTCTAGCAATGATAATCCCATTACAATTAGAAGAATTGTGGAGAAACATTTTCAAACATTCACATCATAGACTCCTTAATACTGGCTTTAATCAATTCTATATTTGGGAAAAGCTCTGATATTCTCTATCCCAACAACCATCAGGAGGACAGCTCCTTTACTTTGACCCTTGACATGGTTATTCCCTGTTTCAGACCACAGTGCATTTAGTTCCCTGTTTCAGACCACAGTGGATTTAGTTTTTGCTTCATCACAACATGCTGCAATTTCTTGCCTATGTATCTACCTATTTGTCCCACTAGATTCTCCAATGCTTAAAAACAGTCCCGTTTTTGGTATTTAACACCAATATACACTCCAGCTGAATTCCAGAGTTACTGAACATTTATTTCAACTACATTAAACACATAATAGAGAAGGTAATTAATATATGTAAATGGACAAAGAATGAAAAGGAAGAGAGAATACAACTCTTTCTTAGAAGACTACTGAAAAAAGTAATAGTAATAAATATGAGATGCTTGCCGACAACAGATTTAGGCAAAATTGCCATAGAGACTTAAGGTACTAAGAATATGCATAAGAATGCTAAGAATTCAGGTTTCATTTGCTCCACTCTCATGTACAGATGCCAGAACTATCAGTTATCATCTGGTAAGTGCACAAGGGAAATCATGAAATTATGAGGACCTGACACATTCCTAGAATTCTTACATAAAAACTCCATTCAAGTATATGTAATTGCAACAAACATTCCCCCATTCCTACCCCAAACCCCCTAAAAAAGTTCTATGTAGTTCTTAAAAAAAAAAAATTCTGAAAAGTAAATGGACTAATAAAAATGATGTTCCTTCCAAAAAGCACTGCCAGGGTGTAGGTGGTGGTGTACAGGGAGAAAATGTCTTCTGAGAAGTCTCTAGAAAAGTCCAGTACTGGGAGAAAGCCAATAGGCTTTCCTATATTAAACTCTCTCTTTTCCTACACTAAATTTCCATTCTTAAAGATTGAATTGCACCCTAATTACTACTGTATAAGTATCAAATTTAAAAACTCAGCGTCTTTTAGTTGATTCTAACGTATGGTGACTCTCCACTGCGTTTCCAAGGTTGTTAATCTTAATGGGATAAGACTGTCCATCTTTCTCCAAGTGAAGCTGCTGACTGTTTTTTTTAGTGGTCCAACACTTACGTATGCCACAAGGTTAAGTACTAGCATAGCTGCCTTACAAATAACTAAGAGAGATATATCAAGACTGTCAAGATATATCAAGAGTATGTATGAAGGGTGTGAAGCTCACTAAAAGAATCATTACAGAAACCTTAAAAGACCTGAGTATATTCCAATGTTTAATACACACAACAGGGCACTCTGGTGTCCAAGTGGTAAAAAACTGCCATGCAATCTCAAAGGCACATGGTTCAAATCCACCAACTACTCTGCCAGAGAAGGATGGATAATCCTCCAGGAGGATCAGCTATGGGTCAGTGCCGACTCAACTATACTGAACAACAATTAACACACACACAAAAAAATCTTTAAAAAAAAAAATCTTTCAATACAAAACAAGACTGCTAAATCCCTAACTACGCCCCCGCAAGGCTACTCAATTAGTATGTAAAAGAGGTAAATCAAGATACTCTTACTAAGCAAAAAGTGAACAACCAGTCAAAAATCTAAAAGAAAGTTAATTCACATTATCAGTCCATTTGATCCATATAAACATTGCTATTGCCTGTCTGCAAACAACCTACATTTAAGTGCTAAGAATGCGTTCCTTCTTTGAAATTTGGTCCTATCAGTTAGTTTTTCTTGAGATAAATTCTATTTTACAGTTTGACAAGCTCATGGGAGTCAACTGTGTATGTTTTCCACATGTGTATTCAGGGACATTTCTATAGGAAGCAAGAGTCTTAGTAAAAGAATTAAACTTTATATCTGTTTTTAAAATTAACTTGTAAAAAGATTTTTTAATTTGGTACATGAAGGAAATTTTTTTTTAAAGTTTTTTTTTTTTTTTTTTTTAAATTTTATTATTTTTGTGTGAGTGTACCGACAAATCAGATCTGACTGGTACAGGAGGAGATTGTCCCTCCTTCCGCGGCAGAGCATCTGGTGGATTCGAACCGTGCGACTCTGGGATTGTAGTTGCAGCTCCTTGCCACTAGGCCACCAGAGCGCCCCTTACATGAAGGAAATTAATCTGCCATTCAGTATCATCTGAAACAAAGAAGTCTGTGTACATATAAGGAAGTTTATGTAGATTATACATTATAGATGTAAAATTCAAAAACACAAATAAGAATGATCAATTTAGAGAGTTGTGATTTTATTTTATTATGAATCAAAGTACACCCCAAGCGAATTGAGATTTTTTTTTTTTTTGTAAATCCTAATAATTTTTGTTTTTTAAAATCCGAATCATTTTGGTCCTCTTTGTATTTATCTTAGATGAATGTATTATGTTTCTGAACAATTTAAGAATCTTGCTTTGCCAGTAATGACCACATGCTTCAACTTCAGTATAAAACTTGGGTAAAAAACTATGTATTTCTACCAGAATGCCAAAGACCAAGGTTTTTTTAGCAAACATTTTCTCAAGTGGGCTGTAAATCTCAACCATAAGAGGAAAAGGATTTAAAATATAAACATACTTGAAAATCATGTCTGATCTATGGAATAAAAATTAAGATGACAAAGGTATTCTCATTCAAACAACTGGGAGCAGGAGCTCTAATGGATAATTTGAACCATTATTTTAATTAAAGAATAATATTTCTGGAAGTCCCTAAATTTATTTGAGCAAATGTCAACATTTTCAGTGCTGCAAAAGAAATTCAACATAATGGAAAAGTAAAGAAAAATGCAAATCTTTGTAAAAATCTGAAGACAGACTTACAAAAGAATGGTAAAAGAATTTGAGGTTTAACAGGAATATGGTAAAAATCTGCACTTCAATCTCAAAGGTTTATATCCACTAGCTGTAGGGTCAGCTATGGTCTGGTTCCAGCTCCATGGAACATAATAACGTAATGGTTCAGGAGGTTGCAGAACACTGTAACATTTAATTAACCTTTGTCCAAGGCAGTACGAAGACAATTATCATTATTGGTTAATTCAGATGGCTCAAGAATTTTCCTCTGCTTAACAAAATTTAGGCTCTTTGACACTAACAGGAGTCGTTGGGTGATGAGAACCATTAACACACTCAGCTGCTGTAACAAATGACTGGAGATTTGCAGAAACATAGAGGTACCTCATAAAAACTGTCCAGTCCCCAAAAAATCAGCCATTGAAAACTCTACTGAGTATTCTGACACCCACTAGGTTGCCACGCACAAGTCAGAAATTATCCGAACTGTCCAACCTAGGTGAATGTGCAGGATTATAGAAGAGTTCTTACTGCTGTAACAAAATAAAACTCACGTCACTGCTACTGACTCATAATTGACCCTCCAGCAGGTTTTCAGTGGCTGTAAATACTATGGGAGGAGACTGCCTATCTTTCTCCCAAGGAGCAGCTGGTGGATATGAACTACATGCCTATGAAGTAGCAGCAACAGTGTCCTATTCACTAGGTCATCAGAGATTCTTCTAAAATAATGAATGGATCTTTATAAATAAGGAAATAAAATTTAAGTCTTAAATATCTAAACATCTCTACTCACTTATATTTATTTGCTCCATGCAAACAGTAAAAATATTTCCTCAATCAATGGAAATATGCTTATAAAGATCCCTTTTCACTGTATTCTACTTGCTGATTTGGAATTCTATCAGGTCTCCCTTCTTTTTTAAAAAAAAACCTCTTTTTGCTATAACCGTATCATTGACAGATTTATGTTTTGGGGGAAGGTTGGTTTTTCAAAGAGCTTATTACCTAATGAAGTGTCATTAGCAGGATTTAGGCTTATCTCTTATTTACATTTTATTGATGAAAATAAGAGTAATAACCACTAATAGTCAACATTACAAAAATCTGTGCTATTTGCCCACAAAGGAAATATCATTTTTTTTCAGCTGCATCTTTAGAGTCTTAAACTTTACTTTTATTAATGGAAAATAGGCTATCTGACTCTCTTAAAAATACATAAATGTTAACATCAAAATATACTTTGGGAGAGAATCATACAATTCATATGACTGATCCAAAATGAACAGATAGAAAATAAACAAAACATCAAGTCCATTCACTGTTTCTTCAGCTAGAAGACAATTTTAAGAACTATTCTAGAATGCTACAAAGATTATATACATAAAAGTTAACATATTTTCTATCATTTTAGCCATACCTTTCCCTAACCCTGTGAGTACAGGCATGAACTTACATATGTATTTTCTAGCACACACATCCTAACATACTAATTTAGAAATCATAAAAATTGCACATTTCAGCAGGCATAGGAATTACATTACAAAAAAAATCCCCAAATTCCAGCATTTAGCAGCTGAGAGGTAGAAGATGCTTTATAAAGAAAGCCTGTATCAAAGACTCTTCTTTGAAGGAGTGTGGCAACAAAAGGGAGGGGAGGAATCTTTATAACTTGATCAAACAGAGACAATATGCAAAGTAAAATCCTTTATGAGTTAGCATTCAAAGTAACTACCTGATATTTAAATTACAAATTTTTCCCTGTAAGGACAAAAAAGGTTAATATTGTTTTACAATCAGAGAGCAAGAAGGCTCGAAGTAAAAAAATTATAGTACAAATAATTAAATAACTGAAATAATGTAGCTTCTACTCTCTTAAAGCTAAAGAATTCATGTGAATTTTAAAAC